TCTAATCTAAAGAAAAATCCGAAAAGAACTTATACTGATAAATATATTAGCATAACTAAGAATTATATAAAACAAATTTGGTTAGAAATAGAAAGAAATACTGACATAAAACATTTACAATTAGTAAGAACGAAGTTTGACACAATAGTAGATGAAATAAATAAATATTTAAAAAATAAATCAGAACAGATTAGCGACAGTGCAATATCAAAACTTGATAAAATGGCTAATTTTGACATGTTAACAGCTTCCTGAATAATTCCTGAATTTAATGGAAATGTAAAGAGTCTATCTAACTTTACCGGTACTTTGCAATTCTACTCAGATTCGTTGAAGGATGAAGTAGAGAGAACCATTCTACTAAATTTTGTAAGATCAACTAAACTTTCTGATCGAGTTAAAAATAAATTGGTTGCAAGTAAGGAAGATGACACAATAAAAAATTTTATTAAGAAGCTAAACACAATTTACAAACCAAAAGCCAATCCCTTAATTATACAAAACAATCTTACTAGAATGCGTCAAGGCATACAAATGATTGCTCAATATGCTTTAAAAATAGAAGAACAAATAGCAATGCTTAATCAAATATACATTTCAGAGCAAGGAGATGAGAATAGAGATGTCATACTAAAGATGACAGATCAATTAGGCCTCAGTACATTCACAAATGGGTTGAATGAGAAGATAAGAAATGTGGTTATAGCAGCCAGGATATCGACATTATCTGAAGCCATACAGATTGCAACAGATGTTGAGACACAAAACAAGAGTCTGATGCAAAATGCATACAGAAACTTTAACTACAAATCAAACAACCAGGGATATAGATCAAGAAATGACAGAAGTCATGGAAACAATAACTCGACGAGGTTTCCAAACAAGTACAGCAATCAACGAAGCAACTATAATAGTCAAACAAGAAATTTCAATAATTTTCAACAAAAAAACGGGAACACCCCCGGTCACAATACCCCGGGGAACATAAACTCAAATATCAACAAGAATGTTCGAAAGTATTAAATTTTACTTCGGCAAAAAACATTTCTAACTATATAACAATAAAAACTTCAATTAGCAATAAGTTTATTACTTTACTAATAGATACGGGCGCCGAAACATCAATATTAAAGAGAGATTTATTAGAAAATAAAAATTTAAAAATAGATACTACAAAAAATTACAAATTAAATGGCATTTGTAATAGTAGAATATCTACAGAAGGATTATTAAAAACAAAATTATTTTTAGATGAGAAAAGTATATCTCATGAATTCAATATCGTTAAACCCAATATAAATCTGCCAACTGACGGCATATTAGGTAGAGATTTCTTATTAAAGCATAACTGCAAGATAGATTATGAAACATGTACATTAACGATGCCTTATCAGGAAGATGAAATAATCTTACCTAGAAATATAAATACAAAAAATCTGGCATATATAACACTGCCCCCTAGAGCAGAAGTAGTTCAACCTATAAAATTAGATATAAATGAAGATAGTATAATTTGTGGTAAAGAGATAATGAAAGGAGTATTTATAGCTAATTCCGTAATACCAGGAATAGGTATAAAACACATTCGAATATTAAATACAAGAGAAACACCAGTAGTCATAAAAAATGCAAAAATAGAAATAAAAAAATTAGAAGATTATAACATATTAAATTATAACAGAGCGTCCCTATACGCTAATAGATTTGATAGAATAAAGAATTTATTGAAACTCCCATGTTTAGATCAAAAAGCAGAAAATTCGATATTAAACATTTGTGAAGACTTCCAGGAAATATTTCATTTAGAAGGAGAAACTCTAACAATTAATAATTTTTATGAGCAGCATATATCAACTACAGATAAAACACCAGTTTACATAAAAAATTACAGAACTCCGAATACGCAATTACACGAAGTGAATAAACAAGTAGATAAATTACTAAAAGAAGACATAGTAGAACCATCAACAAGTCCTTATAATTCACCAATCTTATTAGTTCCAAAAAAGAATAAAGATGGAGAAGAGAAATGGAGATTAGTAATAGATTTCAGACAACTTAATAAAAAAGTAGTAGATGATAAATTTCCACTAACTCGTTTAGAAGACGTTCTAGATAAATTAGGTAAAGCGAAATATTTTTCTACACTTGATATGACTAGTAGTTTTCAACAGATTCCACTTAACAATAAATCGAAACATTTAACTGCGTTCTCAACCAATACAGGTCATTTTCATTTTAAAAGATTACCTTTTGGCTTAAAAATTTCAACTAATAGTTTTCAAAGAATGCTAACTTTAGCATTAACTGGTTTGGATTCGTCCGCATTTTTATATGTAGATGACATAATAATATTCGGTTCAAATTTAAAAAATCACAATGAAAATCTAATAAAAGTATTTAGTAGACTACAAGAACATAATCTTAAATTAAACCCTGAAAAATGTAATTTTTTACAACCAGAAGTTGTATATCTTGGACATTTAATAACAGCGCAAGGTGTATGCACTGATCCAAGCAAACATGAAGTGATCCGAAATTACCCGAAACCTAGAAATTCAGATGAAGTTCGAAGATTTGTTGCCATGTGCAATTATTATAGAAGGTTTATACAAGATTTTGCTGAAATAGCTAGACCTCTTAATAACTTACTAAAGAAGAATCAAATATTCTGCTGGTCGGAAGAATGTGATAAATCTTTTGAAAGTTTAAGAACAAAGTTAATTTTACCACCAATCTTAAGCTACCCAGATTTCTCGAAAAATTTTATATTAACGACAGATGCCTCTAATTATGCATTAGGAGCAGTTTTGTCACAAGGAGAAGTAGGAAATGATAAACCAATAGCTTATGCTAGTAAAACTCTAAACAAGCATGAAATAAATAAGCCTGTAATAGAGAAAGAACTTCTTGCAATTCAGTGGGGAATTAATTATTTCAGACCATACTTATATGGACGAAATTTTACGGTATATACTGATCACAGACCATTAGTTAGTCTTTTTACACACAAGAATCCATCTTCAAAACTGACGAGGATTAGGATAGATTTAATGGATTACAATTTCAACATTATATTTAAACAAGGGAAAATGAATATGAATGCAGATGCACTATCTAGGATTCAATTAGATTCAAAGCAACTAATTGAAATGATACCCAAAAATATAAATGTATTAACAAGAGCAATGAGCAAAAATATTAAAGCACATAAAGAAGAAAGTAAAAAACAAACCTTGAATGCTAACACGGAGATTGATCACCTCCACATGTGGGAAGCAACATCAATAACAGATGTAAGATTTGTAAAGAAACTTGAATTTAAAAAGGTAAACCATTCTGCAGATGGAAAAGAAGAAAAAGCACTTGAACACAAGAATAATAAGTTCAATAGAAATAGTGCAAAATATATTAAAGGTGGAAAAGCACTTGAACATAAAAATAATAAGTTCAATGAAAATAGTGCAATAAATATTATAGCAGCAAATAAAATAGTTGTCGAATACAACGAGAAATCATTATCAGAGATAAAATTGATTCTGAAGAAGTTATTATTCAAAATGAACAACTTAAAAATTACAAAGCTAGCGTTAGCAGAAAATGATGAAATATTAAATGAAATAAACTTGCAAGAAATGAAAGAAATATTTAATAAGCTGCAAAATGAATTAAAATTAAAAGAAAGTCAAGACATAATTATATATACACCACCGAAACGAATAGAAGATACAAAAGAAATGCTCAGATTAATAAAAGAATATCACGAATCTCTACATGGAGGACATTGTGGAATTAAGAGATGCATAAATAAATTAAAACAAAAATTTGTTTGGAAAAACATGAACAAAATGGTAAAAAATTTTGTCAACAACTATGACACATGTGCAAGAGTTAAAATAATTAGGCACACAAAAGAAGAATACCAAATTACCGAAACACCAAACACATCATTTGATGTAATAACAATAGACACAGTAGGCCCATTAATACCATCTAACAATCAGATATATTTTAACACTTCAATGTGAATTAACAAAATTTGTAGAAGCGATTCCTTTAGAAACGAAAGACGCTGTAAATGTTGCGAAAGCAATTGTAGAAAAATTCATACTTAAGTACGGTTGTTTTAGAAAAATGAAAACTGACAAGGGCACAGAATTCACAAATGAACTTCTAAAAAACATTTGTAAATTGTTAAAGATAGAAAAAGTAACATCAACACCATTTCACCATGAGACATTAGGAACAGTTGAAAGAAACCACAGAGTTTTGAATGACTATTTGATGACCATGAAAACGATAAACAATTGGGACGAATTACTTCCTTATTACGTGTACAGTTACAACTCGACTCCACACACAACAACAAAATACACTCCATTTGAATTAGTATATGGTAAATTATGTGCATTACCATGTGAAATTATTAAAAATAAACAAACGATATATGATATTGAAAATTATGCTAATGAATTAAAAATAAAATTAAAATTCTCTCAAGAAAAAGCAAAAGAACAATTAATTAATGCTAAACATTTAATGAAAGAAAAACAAAAAAATGTTAATAAAGCAAAATTTAAAATAAATGATTTTGTATATGTCAAAAAAGGCAACAGAAAGAAATTAGATAACCCATATAAAGGCCCATATAAAATTGTATCACAACAAGGTACAAGCAGTACATTATTAATGAATGAAAAACTTGTTGAACTGCACAACAATAATTTAATAAAATGCAGAAGCAGCAAAAAATAAATTTTGTAATACCATATTAAGTAAGAATTATACGAATACTACATATTGAAAATATTAAATAATAATATCATATTTTGCTAGATATGAATCCACATATTAAATAATAATTACGTTTATAGCAATTAAAAAAAACAAAAAAGGTATATAAAATTGTTAATTTAAGAAATATGATATATGAAGAATTAATCACTTATAATGATATAAAATTTGTAGTGCAAATTACTTAAATATTCAATTCAATTAATTTACACTTTTCTAAAGGGGTAGGGTGTAGTGCCCATGACCTA